GTGTAGAAGTTTTCCTATGATTTTATTACTCAAAATGTTTCCAAATCATGTACTGATGTCTCACTGCTTTGTTTGAATCTGTAAGACTATGACGAGAACTTGATTCTAGGGCTTGAGCTATTGATCTTTTACGTTGCAGTATGGTTATACTAATGACCTTATGGTTTGAGACCACTAATTCGTTCAAAGCGAACCCTTTTAATCCAATACATTTCAAAGTTACCACTTAAGCAGTAATGCCTACATGTATATTTGTTATATGCATATACTGATATTCTCTTATAGATCATTGTAGTATTATATGTTGGAGAATCAAGTCACACAATCAGTATGTAACAAAATAGTATACATCTGATAAGTGGGGGATTCAAAGAGGCATTTTGTGATAAAACATCACACCCAGCAATACGTGATTAAGTTGGGAACAATATCAATGATGTTGGTGGTCTACCTTTGTTAGGTTGATATTATATGCAAATTTCATACCTCTTGTACCTATTATTTATTCATGATTTTGTATTAAATCGTTGGGTTGAATGTCTTTTACACGAGTTTTATTATTATTATTATTATTATTATTATCAAAGTACGAGTTTTGTTGAAAACATGATTTGAGAACAAAACATGGATTTCATGGTTAAAATACAAAAAGACCGGTAGATTTTTTAAGTGGGCCGGTGAGTTGTATGGGCTGGTGCTAGATTTAGAAGATTTGAATTTGGGCTAAAAGTTGGCCCGGAATAACTGGAAAGAAGCGGTGGAGCTCACTTGGGCCTAGGAGCGCACAAATATACAGACCCTAAGAGCGCGCACATATATTCAGAACGAGACCAACCGAGACAGAGGAAAAAAACGTCTGATGGGCTCAACTATAACTGAATTTTGCTAAGTGACATTACTATTTACTTAAAATTTGTCACATGGTAAGCTGGGGTATAACCTTTTACTACGTATTTATCATTAAAATCATCATAATTTTTTCTCTAAAAATGGGACAACTGGTGGCAAACCACTGTTATTCACTTCTTCCAGAGGCCGAAAAGACTTACAAAAGCATTTCAGCCTCCCCTGACCACAAGTTTGGCTTCCACACAATTAGATGTATCAAATGACCCATATATTTTCCCATTTCTTCCCATTCTTTTTTGCTTCTTAGACTTTCCCTTCACATGTAGTAGTCGTTATTCCCCAACTAGGTTTCTTGTTCCCAAAAACTTTGTCGAAACATATTAAAAAAGAAAAGCCATCAATACAGATTCGACCCAATAAAAATAATCGTTCCGACCTTTCCAACAAGTGGAGGTCGTAACAAGGCACCAAATTTTCTCCGCCACCTAACTCATAATTTGTTCATGGGTGTTTCAAGTTTGGTGATAAGTAATAATTAGTTCCATATGTACAGAGATGTGAATATATTGGTCAATCTCTAAAAATGAGTCATTAGAAATTTTGAGAGGGAAATGTAATTTGATGAAACAACGGATTGGAATTGTCATGGATGTTAGTCTTCTTTTGAATCAAATAATGGACTGGAATTACAATGAAGTATGTGGCTTGGAATCCACCTACTGTAGGGAAGGTGAAGCTTAATGTGGACGGTTCTCAAATCAATTCTATTGGAAATATAGGTGTAGGAGGAGTTCTTAGAGATAACATTGGTGATTGGCTTGGCATGTTCTCTGTCAACTTGGGCAAAGGGTAGGTGCTTGATGCTAAAATTGGGGGCTATATTTTGGATTGAAACTTGTAGTTAACAAGTGTATTGCACGATTATTGTGGAGATAGATTCGGCTCTAGTGGTTAACTTAATTAATATAATGACTGATATCGACTTTCATCCTCTTGCCAATATAATTGATCAGTGCAAACAACTTATGACACATAAAGTAAATGCTAGTTAATGCATGTCTATTGGGTGAAAAAATATGGTGGTAGATGGTATTGTCAATTGAAGCCATAACATAGATCTTAGGTACTATTATTTTGAAAATCCTCATGATTGGATTTGAACTCTTTAAGCTAGTTTTTAGGGTGATAAACCAACAAATGAGAATAACTCTTGGATTCCAACCCCATGTTATTAAAAAAAAAAACCATTAGATAATCTCATGGTGCATATTAGTCACTTGGATTGTCTGCCCTCCCCCATCCATCCCCTTCTCATGCCCTCTTACTTTTCTAGCCATTGATTTAATGTTTTATTATTTTAATGCTCCAGATTTTGCCACCTCACCAACAACTCCAAAGCATCTTTAAAGTCTAATTTTGCATACTTTTCTGCTGCCTTTCCCGCGCCCTTCTATCCATTTCCTGACTTTGTTTTGCTGCCTTTCCTGCCTCTAAAGTCCCTTTTCTCCCGCCTTTTCCACTTTTCCCACCTCCCGCTGATTCGACACCACTGCATCTTCATTGGGTCTTCCCAGGTCTGTTTATGTAATTTTCTTTGCTTGTTTTTGCTCCTTTTTGCTATTGGATTTGTATTTTCTTGTTGATAACATGTTGGGGGTCTTCTTTTGCCGACTTAATCCCGTTATTTGTTCTTCTAGAGTAATTGAGAACAATTTTGAAGTATACTAGTTGATTAAAGCCCACAACCTCCGTAAAGAAACAAACTTTGAAAAGTTTATTTTTTTTTCTCTACCATACCTTTTTCTATACTGCAGATCCAATTGAAAATGATTGATTCTGAAGAAGCAAATAATATCAACAATGATGACTCGATCGAATTCGATTGTACAACGAGGTGTGGTGTGGAGTTTGATTCGCAAGAAGCAGCCTATAATCTATACAATGCCTGCAGACGAAAAGTGGGATTTAGTATTAGAAAAGATCGTCACTACAAGAATAAGAAAACTAATGAAGTCACTTCAAGAATTTATGCTTGTAGTAAGGAGGGTTTTCGGCTCCAAGATAAGCGGGATTACAAGACAAGGAAGCCATACAAATCCAATAGCAAAAAGGACCAAAAACAAGCAAAGAAAATTACATAAACAGACCTAGGAAGACCCAATGAAGATGCAGCGGTGTCTAATCGGCAGGAGGTGGGAAAAGTGGAAGAGGCGGGAGAAAAAGGACTTTAGATGGGGAAAGGGCAGTAAACAAAGTCAGGAAATGGATAGAAGGGCGGGAAAGACAGCAGAAAAGTATGCAAAATTGGGCTTTAAAGATGCTTTGGAGTTGTTGGTGAAGTGACAAAATCTGGAGCATTAAAATAACTAAATATTAAGTCAATGGCTATAAAGTAGTAAGAGGGCATGAGAAGGGAATGGATGGGGAGGGCAGACAATCCAGGTCTGTATTAGTTAGTAGGAAAAATAATTATGAGTAATTTAACTATAAAAAAACATAAAAGATTATATTAAAACTTACAACATGATAGATTTTGAGTGGTTTTAGTAGTGTCACGCAGCAAGTCGATTATCAACCTGAGCCCCATTCAGTTTTTCTCTCGAGTAATATTACTTTTATCTCATATTTGTACTATCATTTGTACCATATTTTTAAGGGAGACTTGGATACGGTCCTTAGCTATGAATATTCTTTGATTGAAATTTTGTTGGTTTTTAATTTTTTATCGAGGTCCTTGAAATTAATGTGATAATTTATTTCTATGTACGTTACTATATTTTTTAAATTAAAAATTAGAAATTTTAGTTGTTTATATAAATGAGATTTTAAATAAAAAACCATAATTTGTGGGATTCAAAATATTAAAATATAAATATACTATTGTGTGTGTGTGTGTGTGTGTGTGTATAAACATGGGTACATTCTTCAAAATTAACCAAAAAAAAATTTATTGTATCAAAACTTGGGTACATTCTTCAAAATCACCAAAAAAAAAGAAAGATATTAAGCTTAACAACATTAGTAAATTTCTTGGATTAAACTTGACATGGATACATTTTAAAATCAAAGAAAAAAGAATATACCCTAAATGGATTAGAAAAAAATTGAATAGATTTTATATAAAAAAAAGGATACATTTTACATATAACAAATTGGTATATTTAAGAATGAGTACATATAATTAGCATGGGTACATTTAGAAAAATAAAAAGTAATATATATATATATATATATATATATATCTATATATATGGGTACAAATAGAAATAAACTTTAAAAAATATGGGCATAAAAATAAATTAATATATGGGTACAAATTAAAATTGAAAAGAAAATTAGTATAAATTAAAAAAAAATTACAAATTAAAAATGGGTATAAACTAAAACTAAAAATATAAGATAAAAAATTTAGTCATAAATATAAATATACTAATTGCAACATTTTTAACATTAAATGAATATATTTAGAAATAAAAAAATATGTTATTATTAAAATAAATAATGATATTATTAATACCCAAGGATCTTGATAAAAAATTGAAAAGGAATATAATTTTAATCAATGGAGTAGCAAAATGAAAGATGAAAACCTAATTTCTCCTATTTTTAATAAAAGTAGGGCTTACCAACACATATGAGTTGTATCTCTTCTCTACTAAATAAATAATACAAATACGATAATACTAGAAAAACTAAATTTTTAAAACCAAATGATGTGTTATTAATAAAAATAAACACATTAATCGATATTTAATTAATAATTTAATAATTTACAACCATATCGTTAATTTTGTATATTTAATTTAAAAAATTTGATACTTGTACAAATATGTAGTAAGGCTATCATTTTTTGTTTTCCCTCGACTGAGACATCACCCCAGTACAAAGTAAAAAGTACGGAGGTCCCGCCGTTGTACCCCGTAAAAAAGGGATAGGAAAAATATCGAGAAGGAAGAGCAGCCAAAATCTCGGAACCCAAAAATCTGCAGAAACGTTTGATTCGGTTAATTTGAAGTATATACACACTCTCTCTCTCTATGCTTTTCGTTTTTCCATTTCATTCAACATTCATCTTTCTCTTGTTTTTTATAATTAGGGTTTGTATTATCCCCAATATGATTTCAATTATGTTTTTTGTTCGTTTTTTGTTCCCTAATCTTCAAAATCCTCACTCGAGTAATTTCACGGAATTTACAGAGGTAAATGCTTTTTTCTTTTTTATGGTGGAAGATTTCCAACGTTTGTTGAACAACATATTTGTTTGATTTAGGGATGTTTTGTGCAAGTTTTCAATAGTTTTAGAGTCCAATTCAATGTTTTCTTCCCATATTGGTTGCTTTCTGGTGACTAATGTAACTCTTGTCAATTGACCCAAACGTGGAATGGAAGATAGAAACCATGAATTGGGAAATTAAGCATAGGATTTGCTTTGTGTGATTTATTGTATTCTTGACAGTACTCAATACTCAATTGTTCTTCTATGCTGTGGTTTCGGAATTTTTAAGGATCTGTCTACTTGAGTTGTGATTGATTACTGATGAGCTCCATGCTTAACCAATTTTTCAGGACATTTTCGTTTCTTTTAAGGAACCTCAAGAATATATTTTTCAAGGATTGGACCTTGACCAATGCCACACTGCGTCCAATTCCCCGAATACAGTGGTCGATATCCCAGATTTGACTACTCAAATGAATGATAATCACTTTGAATTTCCTGATTACTTAAATGAAGGGCCTTTCATCGGTCACAACCACTTTTGAGAATCTTCTTAACGTTGGTCCATTCTACTTGTTATAGAAGCTAACCTACTAAAAGTCCTTGGTATCCGTTTTGAATCCAATTTTTGTTTTCAAAAATGGTAACTATAGCTAAATTACTCATAACTCGTTAGTTTCAAAAAACTGAAAATCGAATTCAAATAACAATACCTAACACCGACTCTGATTTTGGTATAAAAAAAATGAGCACAAGAGCAGGATTCATTGCGTTATGTGTAGAAGCTTTCCTATGATGTTATTACTCAAAATGTTTCCAAATCATGTAGTGATGTCTCACTGCTTTGTTTGAACCTGTAAGACTGACGAGAGAACTTGATTCTAGGGCTTGAGCTATTTATCTTTTACAATGCAGTATAGTTATACTAACGACCTTATGGTTTGTGACACACCTGACCGAAATCAAGGCATGTTGGCCGTCACGTGAGGGTGACGTAGCTAAGTGCACAGTGCGGAAGCAATAAAGATAAGAAATATACGAATATTTAAAACCGAATTTACTAGAGTGCACTACTAAACAAGAAGTGGTAGGAGCAAGACACAAAAGTAAATACTCCTAATCAGAGCATAAAAAGTCTAGGTGCAATCCAGTAGGACAAATACTAATTATACAATACCATAAGATGTCCTACAATTATTTTGATAAGTCAGAATCGCCGAAATCCTCAAGGCCACCGACAGCAAGCTTACCTAAAACCTGGATGGGCGCAAAACAGAAAACGTGAGTGGGCAAAAACAAATGTTTTAAAAAACCATTTCATTTATCAACATTTCTAACCCCTCGCTGTAAAACATGTATAATTTTTCCCAGAATCAGAAGATAAGCATATACATAAATATATATGTAAATATATTAATTCAAATGCTTCACAATATCATATTCATATGTATGCCATGCCAAGATATAACAGAGTAAGCAATTCAAGTGAGAATAATTTCATATAAATATAACATGTTAGCTGGAACCCCTATGGTAGTCTGTACGGCTGAATTTATAGCTCAAAAGTCAATCTAGTCGAAGTCACTACAATGACCTATACGGCAATATACTACACAAGAGTCGGAACTAAATGAAAATGTATGTACGACAATATTGGGTGTAATACAATCATGCTCAATACTACTCACACATAATAGTTGGGCGATAAATCGCTAGTCACCTATGAGTCGGAACCACCTAAGATGGTCTGTACGACATGACTGTGTACCTAAATTGGATCCAATATGAGCATATGGTGCGGGAGGTGACATAATAAACAGGCAAGTGTCATCTCTGGCTAAATCACAATCACCCTAGGTGCAGTTTTATGAGTCTAACATTATTCAATCACGCATCACACCATTGATAATTCACATAACCAAACATAACTCACATGAGCTTACCTGAGCATCCACAGCGCCACAATTATATATATAATGCATCATATATCAATTCATATATGAATTATAAATTTATATGCATGGCATTCAAGGCATACCCTCATTTAAACATATTTTCTGGGAAAATATCAAGTATATTAATATATACTAAAAACCAAAAGCCCACTCACTGGTATGTCGAAGGGTTGTAGCCCCCGAGTCGCCCTTGAACGCGCTCGTCCTCGGGATAAGTCTCACCTATATGCGAATTAACTATAAAAACGTTATTTAAAGCACATAGAAAAAACTAGCTAATAACTTCTCATACAATACTCAAATTGGGTGTTTGAATATACCAATGTGATCTACATAACTCCACGAACATCCCCATATTTTTAGAATAATTTTCTGACCACCCACGCGCCGGCCAAGGCACGGCAATACGCACCCCCACGCGCGGCCACGTGAAAGGCATATTGACAGCATCAGTCAACACCATCAGGAATATTCCGTTAAATAGTAACAGAATCTGTTAAAATTAACTGACGCCGTGGAATATTCCGTCATCTCTAACCTTGGACCTCCAGCGCCGGAAGCTGGGGAATTTTTCTAAACCTTATATCTTTGTCAATTTTCATCCAAATTACATGAAATTTAAACCATTTTGAAGATCTTATCAATACGAACAAAACCATACCAGTTTTAGAACCTAAATCCTACGAGATTCGCCGGAAATCTCATTGATAATCCGGCCAAAACCTGCAACCCGCCGATCTCGTTATTCCAACGTCCAAATTCTTCCAACGAACCACTCCTAGCCTCGTGGGAACCTCCTTAAGCTATCTATAAGCTCCAAATTCCTTAAAACCTTCAAAATTACATGTGCATGAATAGTGCACAAAGTCGAGGTTAGGGTTTCTCGGGTTTTCGAAGCTTTCCATTCTCAAAAATGGTACCAATGAACTCAGAAGCTTACAAGGAACAAGAATCTTACCTCTTAGATGTCGATCTGTGAAGTTTGAAAGGGTTTTGGGTGACGTCCGTACGTGTAGGAAGAAGAGAGAGTGAGTTCGAGGGTGAGAGAGTACGGGAGAGAAGAGAGAGAGAAATATAGTGTGTGTGTGTCCCACGTGGTCACCCACAAAACCAACAACCAAGTCTTTTTTAGTTCCAAATAATAAGGACTTAAAGAATTAGTCCACTCCCAAACTTAAATCACATAATCACACAACACGCCCGAGGGCAAAATAGTCATTTCACATTGTCAAAATTAAATATTTGGGACGGGCTGTGACAGTTTGAGACCACTAATTTTTTCAAAGCGAACCCTTTAATCCAGTACACTTCAAAGTTACCACTTAAGCAGTAATGCGTACATGTACATTTGTTATATGCATACTGATATTATCTTATAGATCATTGTAGTATTATACGTTGGATAATAAAGTCACACAATCAGTATGTAACAAAATAGTATACATCTGATATGTGGGGAATTCAACGAGGTATTTTGTGAGAAAACATCACACCCAACATTACATGATTAAGTTGGGGACAATATTGATGATGTTGGTGGTGAACCTTTGTGAGGTTGATATTATATGCAAATTTCGTACCTCTTTTACCTATTATTTATTCATAATTTTGTATTCAATCGTTGGGTTGAATGTCTTTTATACGAGTTTTTTTATTTTATTTTTTTAATTATTATCAAAGTACGAGTTTTGTTGAAAACATGATTTGAGAACAAACATGGATTTCATGGTTAAAATACAAAAAGACCGGTAGAATTTTTTAAGGGGGCCGAGTCAGCTGTGTGGGCTGGTGCTAGATTTAGAAGATTTGAATTTGGGCTGTGCAATTTGGCCCGGTATATTTGGAAATTGGCGGTGGAGTTTACTTGGGCCTAGGAGCGCACAAATATATAGACCCTAGGAGTGCGCACACATATTCAAAACAAGACTGACGGAGAATGAGGAAAAAAAGGTCTAATGGGCTCAACTATATCTGAATTTTGCTAAGTGACATTACTATTTACTTAAAATTTGTCACATGGTAAGCTGGAGTATAACCTTTTACTACGTATTTATCATTAAAATCATCATAATTTTTTTTCTCTAAAAAAGAACAACGGGTGGGAAGCCATAGTTATCCACCAATTTTAGAGGCTGGAAAAACTCACAAAGGCATTTCAGCCTCCCATGACCACAAGTTTGACTTCCACACGATTAGATGTATCAAATGACCCATATGTTTTCCCATTTTCTTCCCATTCTTTTTTTCTTCTTAGACTTTCCCTTCACCATGTAGTAGTCGTTGTTCCCCAACTAGGTTTCTTGTTCCAAAAAACTTTGTAGAAACATATTAAAAAGGAAAAGCCATCAATACAGATTTGACCCAATAAAAATAATAGAAAACTTCATTTAATCATTGGCACTTTTAGATTAAAACCATGAGTAAGATCAAAATATAATTTTAGTCCCTTGATACATTAATAAACTCATTTATTAATTATATTTTTATTTTTTTAAATATTTCTCTTTTTCTTCCTAATTTTTAATGTATTATTTTTATTTCATTATAATTATAATTTTCATTTCATTTATCGTAATATATTTCGTTGGAAATTTAAGAGAAACTAATTTTTGTTATACAATATATTTCGATGTACTTTGTTTTCTTTATTTAGGTACATTAAATTCATTATAATACATTTCGGTGCATACATTTAGGTACACACATTTCGGTACATACATTTCAATACAAATATTTAGGTACATTAATTCAGTATAATACATTTCGGTACACACATTTAAGTACATTAATTTAATATAATACATTTCGATACTAACATTTAAATACATTAGTTTAATATAATATATTTCAGTACACACATTTCGGTACTAACATTTAAGTACATTGATTGAGTTTTTCAAGTTTGAACAATGTTAAATAAAAAACTTTTTTTTGGTCAAAAATAAATTAAAATTTATATAATAATAAATTTAAATGTTTAATGGGAGACATTAAATAAAATTGATCAAGACAGTGTGAAGCAAAACCAGATAAAGCTTGAAAAACTAAAATTAAAATTTATATCTTAACAACTTTCCTTGGATAAAGCTTATCTGCAATCTTCACACGCAACATCAGCTTTCCAGATACCAGATACCACTTTTTCAAAGTGCTCTGACAAAGTTAAAACACGTGAATTTTGCAGCTCCCACTGCATTGCTATGACCGAGAAGGGTAAAGGAACAACGTTATTACTCGATGTTGGGACAATTCCTATATATGTTGACCTTTATCCTCCACAGTCAGGTAAACCTACAAATAAAAAAAATGCTCAACTTTTCTTCACATCCGAGAGGGAACTCTCAGCAAAGTCTCTCGAAATACTCAGCTTATTTTCCCCCCGATAATACCTCTGCAAACAAGCCACACCAGAGCAAGAGTATCTCATATCATCAGGGTTAAAAGCAAAAGTATCCCATATCATGCTTTTTCCCTGTCTTTTCCTTTGGCCTTGTTCTTACCTGCAAGACAACGAGAAAGAGAGCAATCAGTCAGCACTTGGAATCAAG